TAAAATTTATTTTATAACTCTTGTTATATATATGGATATTTTAGTAAATACTAGACATCGGTCTCATTGGGAATATATAATATCGGAGGGATCATAAGTTATTTTATATATTTAACCAAGAGGGTGAAAAGGGCCTAAACTGGTTCAAAACCTTCTCCAGCAGGCTTAACAACATCAATTTGAAAGCAAGTTCAGTAAACTTTTAGAAAGTTACACATTTGACCCTTAAATATCATATATCAATCCTTTTACGACAAAAAAAGTAAGAATATTACCTTTCAGACATTCGTTTTTAAGTTGTAATATTCGATAGTAGGGACACTGGATTCCAAGAAAACTTTGACTTGCTTCCTATTTTTATCAACATTGCGTTCTTTTATGCGTTTTCTCCTCTTTATAAAAAATCAAGATGTTAAAATAAGGAAAATTATATATATATATATATATATATATATATATATATATATATATATATATATATATATATATTATAGAGAGAGAGAGAGAGAAAGAAAGAGATAGACTATGTGGAAAACAGAGTAAACATACAAAGGTGAAATACAAAGATTTATATATCCAACCTAATTGAGACACAAGAGGTGGCATAACCAAAGTTTTCACCTAGGAAAAATACAACCAAAGCTTGACTAATATCACTTCCACCTAATTCCTATAACCATAGATGCATATGAACTCAAAGTTACTACATTGTTTGAATAATGATATGAGTGATGTCACATGTGTGATTCCCAAATTTCATAAAGTGGGAGAAATTTGTGTAAAGCCATAGAACTAATATATATTAATAAAAAACAAACAACGATTGATAAAAGGCTTAGGAAATGACTACCTTGTTTGCAGCTTCACTTAAAGCTTAGAAAAACATTAACTTTATGTATACCACTACATATTTAGAAGATTTCCAGCAAAACCTACAACTCCGGTAAGTTTCATAATCTAGCTAATTAGGCTAAGAATTTTACACAAATGTGCTCAAAACTAGTTTAGCCACATAAATTAGAATGTTCTGCTTGTAGCTACCATCAAAAATCAATTATATTAATGTTTAAACATGATATATGTGAACAAGAGACATCTATTCAATTTTAAAGCTAGCTTCACAATTTTGGCTATTATTTCTTAAGAAATAACAACCTAATGTTGTTATTACAAGATTGAGATGAATATATGCATGCCTCAAGAAATAACCTCATGTACCTGTCGTTGTTCATCAGAATCTACTTGTGCCAGTAGAGAATCCAGCAGCAAACTATTGGCGTCGTTGATCCGAATCCACTAGTGTTACCTCCTTAGTATACATCGACGATCTTCCCGTTCTATGAAAACTATTCTCAGAAAACTACTATCGTCAATTTCAATCACTCAATCCCTAGCTTTCACTTCCTCTTGTATAGCCATTATCGATATTTGTCATGGATACGATGATATCATTAGTCAACGATTTTTTCTTCAATTGAAGCATTCAACACGATTGAAGGCTTATAATGACATAATCAAATCGATCGAAGACTAATAAGTTTGAAATTGAAAATTAGGGCCATACTCAAATTAGATCCATACTCGAACTTGGGGATCTCTGATGATGGTATGATGCTCTAAGATGTGAAATACCGTCGATTACTGTATGATAAAGGGTGGAAGCGTCAAATTCCAAATATATATATATATATATATATATATATATATATATATATATATATATATATATATATATATATGTGTGTGTGTGTGTGTGTGTGTGTGTGTGTTTTTGGCAATAAATGTCAATTCATTTTGGCAAGGGGAACATGAAGCGGAAATTCAACTTTTTTTTAGTGGCACAAAATAAATTAGTAAAATCATACAATAAAACTCTAGTGACATAAATAAATATATGACACAAAAAAAGAGTTTTTCGTCGCATTTAATATTTTTAAGCCACTGATAAGTATTATATTAATGACATAAATTTTTAAGTGTCACTAAATCTATTAATTTTATAGTGGCACATAAAGTATGTCACTAAAAACATGTTATAGTGGTATAAAAAAATATATACCCTTAAAAACATATGCTACTAAATGTTATTTTGTTTGTAGTGCAATAAGATTGTTTGTGACAAGAAACGGATGAATCATGGTTTTCTAAAAACCATAGTTTGTGGGAGAAAGAGTGAAAGTGAACTTGTGAGAATTGTGAGAAGTTTTCTCAGGTGTAGAGAAAGCAGCGATTAAGGCCATTGTTCAGCCGAAGGTGTTGAAGAAAGTTGGCGGCAATTAGGGTTGCCAAGAAAGCAGGCTCTGATACCAAGACAAACTTGGTGTAAAATCACGTATTGTATATATCTCAATAATAGAGTACATTAGATATATATATATATATATATATATATATATATATATATATATATATATATATAGATATATATATATATATATATATATATATATATATATATATATATATATATATATATATACTAGTTTATAACATGTGGGAACCATGGTTAAACTTTGATAATAAAAAACTCAAAATGATTAATCAATTATTTTAAATAAATTATTAATTAAGATATGTTTTTATTAGTTATATAAAATTATAATCGTTGATTCAAATAAATATGTAAAATTAATTTTTAATATATATTAGACATTTTTATTTGTTAATTAATGAAACAATAATATAAATTTAAAATTTTTAAATTTTAAATTTAAATTTAAAATAGAGAATAAATATATTGACAAATAGCATCACATTAATGATGATGTCTAATAAATTTAAAATATAAAATTAATAGATTGACAAGTGTCAACACATTAATTAAAAGGTCTAATATGATGACACATGGCAAAACAACTACTCTTTTATTAGTATATATATATATATATATATATATATATATATATATATATATAGGGTTAGGTTCATGTGAGACGGCCTAATTTTGTGAGACCGTGAGACGCATTTATTTATTTTATTTATTTTTTATTTTTTTTAGTTAATTCAAGTTCCGAAAATAATATTTAAAAAAAGAATTTTCTGATTTTTCCATTTATTTTGCATTTTAAAATTATTTTTAAAATATGTACAGTGTCATATTCTATTTAGAATATTTCACTTATTTTTCAAAAAAAAAAGGATTTTTTTTTATTTTTTTATTTTTTTTAGTTAATTCGAGTTCCGAAAATAATATTTAAAAAAAGAATTTTTAGATTTTTCCATTTATTTTGCATTTAAAAATTATTTTTTAGAATATGTCAGTGTAATATTCTATTTAGAATATTTCACATATTTTTTTTAAAAAAAAACTGGATCTTTTTTAATTTTTTAATTTTTTTTTAATTTGTTTTATATTTTTTTTAGTTAATTCAAATTCCGAAAATAATATTTAAAAATTTTTTTTTTGGATTTTTCCATTTATTTTGCATTTTAAAATTATTTTTTGATTTGATCTCACGGTCTCACAAAATTAGAATGGTCTTAAATAAACCTGAACCTATATATATATATATATATATATATATATATATATATATATATATATATATATATATATATATATATATATATATATATACTTTGTATCCCTATAATAATAAAATATATTAATTGTCTAATAATATTCATATGACAAATATGAAATTATTTTTCCTTGAAAGACAATGATTCAAGTTATTTATTTATTTATTAATTTTTTGCCTTGATGCAACTATTCAATCTTTTCTTTGCAAAACTCCTTCATGAATACTCTTTAACAATCTTTTTGAGACACAAATGAATCATAATTCCAGCACCATTAGAAATATGACTAATTTCCCTGTCAATGTCTTGTGTAACCCATACTGAATCTACACATAGTTGAATTGAACATGTCATAAACCAAAGTTCACCCTTCCATCAAATTTCTCTATATTAAACATTAAGAAAGTGAACTCTATGCCGCATATTATATGTATATCAAAAACAGAAAAAGTAAATTATCTTTTATTTTTTTATACCTATAAATATTCCTATCCCCGAACATTATAACAGGTATCATCATTTCACCATTTAATTTTATTTTATTTAATATATTACTAATATACTCTAAATAAGATAGTTAATTAAATATGAAAATATTTATAAACATAAAAGATAGGACTCAATTTTATTTCTCAAAGAAATATTATATACTAGAAAATATGCATCAAACTTATATAATTAATACACCCAACAAATGATTTCCACAAACAAGAAAAACACATTTAAATCAGTGAAGTCTTTCCCAACCATAACCTTCCATAGACATATACTACTCTTGACATGCCAATAGTCTGCCAAATGTTTGTTTCAACTTTCAAGATACAAAGACACCCACCCACCAACCACCAATACGACAATAGAAATTCGTTTATATGAGACAAGCAACAACCAGATAGCATAGCATATAACAAACCTCTAAAACTCACACATACCTCAAAAAGAATGTCTCACGCTTCTTTAAATCAAAATTGATGACTAAGAGACGATAAACATTTAAATACAGTTTTATTAAACATGACAAACCCTAACTTCTTGATTCCTAATCAAATCTAACCTCCATTGCAACTCTTCAAAAGCCTACTTCAATTTTTAAGTCATTTTCATTACAAAAAACACCACTTTGCCCGATCATGTGAGAAAAAAAGATGAACTTGATCATTTTTTCAGCCGACTTATAAAAGTGTCTTTCAAATCATGTGAGAAAAAAAAAAAACTCTGTTATTTTTTTTCTCATTTTCAGTTTTTCACCTTCAGCGACCTATGCCATAACTAATTAGAATGAAACCAAACAAATGAACAACCAAGAAAATAAAAAATCCCATAGAAGCCCAACATTCTCGCCCGCAACACTTATGTTTAAGAGAGCAAGTTCCCTTGTATATTATGACGTGTTCAAAATTTGTCATCAAATCTAAAAAACATAAGACAATCTTTAATGATCTCAAAGCATGAGCTTAAACGATAAATCTTTATTCACTCTAAATGTATGCTCATTACATGACGATTTGGGCCTCCAAACAACCAAAAAAAAAAAAAAAGGTGATGGAAATGGAAATGGAAATGGGAACCTTTGTTTATTAGGCCTTGCTGTCGATGGTCATTGGAGCAACCTCCTTGGGAGCCATCTTCTTCTGCACCAAAACCAAAACAATCACATTTAGTATTCAGATAGAATCAAACATCCCACAACACAAAAGTCAAAAACAAGCAGTACTCACCTTTGAATCAGCTCCCGACAGCTTAGCAAACATATTCCCATAAAACTTAGCATCCTTCTTATTATACTCCCTCATCTTCTCCTTCAACACCTTATACTCCATCTTCACATCCCTATTCTCAGGCTCTATTTCAAGTGCCTTTTTTATATCAATTTCAGCCAAATCCAAATCACCAACATTAATATACGCTTGAGCCCTCCTGTACAACGCCTTCACATTCCTGCTCTCCATTTCCAACACCTTCGTGCAAAGCTTCTCAGCCTCTTTGTACTCCTTCATCTTCAGTTTACAAGCTGCATTGTTCAGATTGCAGGAAACCTTCAACACTTTCGCTTGCTTCTTTTCTTCCTCACTAAAAGAAGTGTCATAGTCAATGTACTTCACACCCTTCTCATATCTCTTTGAAGCTTTCTCATATTTCCCAGCTTTAAACAACACGTTCCCTTCTTCCTTCTTTTTCCCAGCTGCTTCAATCTTTTCTGGGGTGATCATATCCCATGATTCTTTTTCCTGGAAAAACAAATACCAACGTGTGTCAATTACCCTTTACTTTAGTATCGAGATGAAATTACTAAACTGACCTTCACAAAAGAGATAAGCTCGACTTCATAGATGACGGTAGAATTGGGAGGAACAACTGCTAATTCTTGCTTGGACTCTGAAGAACCAAATGCATACTCAGGTGCGATTGTGAGAACAGCTACTTCGCCTTTCTTCATTGTTAACACAGCTCTATCAAGCCCATCAATTACTTGCTCTGTGAAATAGAGTAGTGAGTACAATTGAATTTCAAGTATGGAACTTTATCAAGATTCTTGATGTTTTTACATACCTTCGTCTGTTTTGAAATCAAAAGGGTCGGCTTTAAAGAATATAGTGCCATCTTGCAGCTTACCAATCAATGTCACTGTCAATTTAGAAACCAAATTTTCAGAAACCAATGTGTTATATACTAAATTGTCAAATTATAATGAAAAGACACACAAGTTACATTGAACAATAGCTCCTTCATTTGGGCGCTCATATCCTTCTCCTTCTTTCAAGATTTTCTTCACAACCTTTTTGTCAGTGGTAATGTTTGAGACGATATTCCATGATACAAGCTCTAAAGTAATTTGAAGTGTAGCATTTGCTGGAACTCCAGTTTCATTACCCGAAGCTTGTTTCCCCTTCTCCCCAAATCCATCTGCAACAATGAAAAAACTAAGTCATAACTCATAACTAACAACGAAATTAACTTTGATTTTAAAATGTACTTGAAAGAAACACAACTTACATTGAGGTTTAACTGTAAGAACGGCCTTTTCTGCTTTCTTCATTGTTTTCACAGCCTTTGACAACGCAGGGCAGAAGTGTCCTGAAGAAACAATGACGTCAGCAATAAACAAAAGCAACCGCAACAGGAGTAGAAGAGTATTTATCATCCAGGCAATTTACCATCTTGGACAGTGAACTCTACTCCATCAGCTTTTGCGACTAAAGTCCCATCCTCGAGTCGAACTTCATAATTCACTGCAGAAACAATAGCAATGAACGTGGTGAGTTCAAATCAACAAGATGTTTGTGAATCAAAAGGCTGTGGTGATAACAAAAGTGATACCTAAAACTTCATCTAGGTCCCTTGGGTTCTCCCACTTCTCTCCTTTCTTAACAATCTTCTTGAAGATACCGCCATCCTTGCAAATATCCTTGACACTAGACCAGGAAAGTAGCTGTACATCGAATTGTAGAGTGGCGTTTGGAGGGATAGTTGGAGGTGAACCAGAAGCGCCATATGCAAGCTCAGCAGGAATGGTGAAGAGTGCATTCTCACCCTTCTTCATTGTTTTGATTCCCTGATCCCATCCTTTAATTACTTGACCTATCCATAGCGAGCAATAGTGTCATTTAGTGATATAAATAACACAACACAAGAAGTGCGGACTGTTCCATTTATCGATATACATATTTTCATGGTTAAGAAATTATAGATCCTATTCGACACAAGTAATGATCAGACAAGATGTGCATTGGATCATATGAAAGCTTCATAGTGATTTAAAACAAAAATAAACATCATGAAAGTTTTGGCAATAAGTTCATATAGATTGAAAAAACAAAACCTAATCGCCATTGACAGCTAATCTAAGGTAGCGAGAATCAATCAAGGATAACGATCATTTATATTTGTCACTAGTGCATCTGCATTAGATGAATAAACATGAAAAACTATCTATTAATAGCACCATAACGAGCATACTCTATAAAATAGACATCACCAAAATAAGATCATCAATGATTTAAGACCGGAAGAAGAAGATAGATAACTACATATCGTAAGAACGAGAATCCTCACCTTGACCGAGAGTAAACTTGAACGGAGTTCCCCTATCACGGCTGGAATCGAACTGAGTCCCGTCAAGCAAGGTTCCGGTATAATGTACTGTAACGTTTTCGAATTGAAATCAAAATCAATACAATTACGAGTTCGAACATAAATAATAATCAGCAGAACCGGCATCAATGCTGAATTATACCTTCGACCTCATCGCCATTTTCTGGAGTCTCCCAACTATCACCTTCCTTAAGAAGTTTCTTCTTCAAACCTTGATTACCGATCTCTTTTTCCTCGCCAACCTTCAATGACCCCGGAGCATCATACGGTGTATCATCCATCATTTCATCGTTCATTCCTCCAGCTGCGGGAAAGTCAAAATCATCCTCCATTGTGTTATACCAATATCAAATCTCGCTGCTACAAAGCAAAATCAACAAGCAAAAAAATTCGCAAATCCGAGAGAAAGGATTGTACGTATGAGGAAAATCGAGATTTTGAGGCTTTTATAGACAGATGGCTGTAAATGTAAAAGGGTTCTAGAGGGTTCCGAAAGGGGTTAGTTACTTAGACGGAAAAAAAAAAGAGGTGAAGAAGGGCCAGGATCATTCGAGAGATATCACGTTTACGTTTGCAGGAGTACGTTATCCTCTCTGTTGCGGATCACAGGTTCGTTGGTGGAGACGCAATGGTGCGAATCCAACGGTAAGCATACCACGTGTTCTTGTTTTCCGTTTGGAACCGAGTAGATTACAAGAATGGTACCTATGGTTTTAGATATTTTATTCGTTTAGTTTCTATCTTATTCTTTTAATTTAGAAGGTATCTACTATTTGTTTCTATTGCGTGCTTGATTATTATCTGATCTAAAAAAACTATTATACTCTTATTAATTTCTTTTTTAGTTAATTTTATTATTTATGTAACCTTATTTATTATTGTATTTAAAAAAATATTTTTATTATGGTTAATAAGGACGTACAACTATTCAAAGCATGCGTACAACCATTATCACACCACATGATCTCGTTCTTATGTATTCTCAAACCAAACTGCTTCCCTGCCTCCTCTATCTTTCTCCGACGAGCTCAAAGAATGGTTGAAAATTTGGTAACACCTATAACTAGGATACTGATCTAACCGATCTCTAACATAGCAACCATCCTACAACTAGGATATTGATCTAACGGATCACTAACATAGCAACCATCCTATAACCAGGATACAAATCATAAAGAGTCGGCCTTAGTGCCTTAGACCCAGTTGATATAGTGAGGAGAACTCACCTTACAATGTCGATCTGAACTGAAGAATCAAATTCCTGAATCATTATCTCACCAAAAATCCAGAACTATCCAAAATAACGAACAATAAGTCAATAAATGGGAATATCAATCTTGACCAAAAGCCCCTTATATAATAACAGTCCATTTTCCCTTTTCTCTAATTTGGGCCAAGGCCTAATACCAAATTTATGATCCAAAAGTCCACATATACAAGGCCCATTATTGGCCCAATTTTTGAATTTGGGCCCAACTCCCTAATCGGGCCTCATTTAAAGATTCACTACCAAACCAGGCCCAAAGTACTATTATCCAATGAGTCAAGGCCCAAGTCCGACTGGCCTAAATCCCGAAGCCCAAGTCGCAAAAGCCCAACAGGGGGCGTACATTGGGCCGGAGGTTCCAACCCGAGTTGTGAGACCGAAGGGTCTTCACTAAGACACATTGATCGGAGGTTCCTTATTGAGATATAGCCATCAGAGGCTTATTATTTGCATGTGGTATTTTGGGAAACTCACTAAGCTTCGTGCTTACAGTGTTGTGTGATATAATGTTTCAGGTTCCTCTCATGATCACGGGAAGGAGTAGACTTAATTGTACACACTAGTTAGAGATTTTGTTTTGTTGAGGATTCTGGGATATTATCAAACATTTGTTGCTTTGTGTTTTGACAACTTATACATTTTGTGGTTTTTAATAAATGTGATATTGGTTTTTATTTGATTTTAAAAACGAAAATTTTATTTGAAATTTTAGAGTGTTACAAGTTGGTATCAGAGCCTTGGTTTGAGGGATTCGGATGTACTCTCGGGTATGTCTGGACTCAAACTGAGGATTTGAGAAAATTTTCTAAAAAGAAATGATTTTTATAAAACGAGTAAGAGTTCTACAGAGAAAACAAGGCGGATCATTGTATACAATCAGCCAGAGCCCCGAACGGTGATTTCCCAAAATATTATTACTTGTTTATATTATAAGATATTTAGGAGATCTTAGAGCTACATGATAGGGGATATGCTAGGTATTTCAGAAATTAGGGCTAGAGTTGCCTGATTCATGATGCCTTAGCCCAGGGGACGTTATTGATTGATATTATATGCTATTTGCTCAATATATGTGCTGAGTATGAGTACCTAGCAGGAATCTTTTAGAGAGATTATTGAGGCGAGGAGTAATCTAGGAGAGATACCTAGATGAGCATTTGAGGAGTCTAGTGAGAGAGTAGCTTTGATATCCGTGAGGGATAGAGTAATTGTGAATTAAGATCCTAGGAGGCGGACTTGGGGCCACTACAAGTTGGTGTGGAAGGTAGTATTGGGCTCGTACAACTGAAAGCACCGGATTTGTATTCGACCTAAGTAAAAATCTTAGGATGCTAAAGAGCATGTAGAGGTGGGTAATCGAGTGTGTGTGTTTGAGTTAGTCTCTGATGATTTTAGTGTTTGCATTTCGGAGACACTACGGTGATTACCCGCAACAACCCTGGGGGTAGTGGTACCAGTGACGAGGAGATCCGTAGGATCATTGCTGAAGAGGTGGTTGTCACTATCAGGGAGGCCATGCCAGAGATGTTCGGGTGTATTAAGACCACATTGATCGAGACTTTTGATGAGTGATATGTTGCCGTCACAGAGGCTATTGCTGATGCAGCCACCGCAGCCCTAGCTGCTGCGAGGCCTCGGGGAGGGGGGGGGGGGGGGGGGTGATTCGTTGTTGCTTCGGGAGTTCAGCAACACGAAGCCACCGAAGTTTGATGGGACCCAGGACCCGATTGCTGCAATGAGATGGATTTATGATATCGAGGGATGTTTCTATACCTGTTCATGCCCTGAGGATCTGGAAGTCTGATTTGCACTGAACCAGCTTCGCTTGGGAGCGAAGTACTGGTGGAGATTTGTGACGACTGATTACTCTCCTGTAGACCATGCGTCAGTAACATGGACGAGGTTCACACAGCTATTCCGAGATGAGTACGTTCCCCAAGTGGAGAGGAAGTGGTTGACCCAGGAGTTTTTGTCTCTCAAGAAGAAGACAAAAACCGTGACAGAGATAACGTGGATGTTTCATGAGAGGGCGTCGTTTTTCCCCGATCACGTGTCTACGGAGCAGGCACTGTGAGCCAGTACTTGAGCATACCGATGCGAGATATTCGGGAATTTGTGGTGAACTCTTCGTATCGGACATTGGCTAAGCTATAGACCGATGTCAGGAGGAGGGAGATTGAGCTAGAGTTTCAGAATAGAGAGAAAAAGGAGTCTCAGAGTAGAGATAGGAGACCGGGACAATCGTAGCCGACGACCAAGCGGATTAAGCCCACCGATACGAGAGTTGTGAGCCAGAAGGGCCGCACTTATGGCAAGTGCGGCAAGAGTCATAAGGGATCTTGCCAAGCAGGGATTTGCTACAAATGTGACAAGGAGTGGCATTTGTTTAACTATGTGTTACAAAGTATATCCTTTCATGGTAGGATGTAGAGGAGTAGTGATATGTTGGTAAGAGTATCATTAGGATTGATGATCATCGTAGTGAATATCGTAAGGGTTGTATGTATTAATGTAATAGCATGACAACTCTTGATATAGACTTTCTTGCATGTTTCTTATTTGGTTGTGGCTTTAGAGTAGGATAATTTGTTTAACTATCTATCTTATCTCTGATTACTTACAACTATGCATCCACTTGGTAATCTGTCAGTTGTAGCGTAGAGTGTAGTATGAGCCCCTAGTATGATGTGCACTGTAGTAAGCGATTAGATAAGTAGAATAGTTCTGGTAGTTGCTTGTGTTGTTGGGTTGTTTGATTGCATGTTTATTATATATGTCGACAAATCTTGTGGTGGTTGAGGGCGGTCCTGCTTTGTGTCGTAGGCCAAGATACCCGGACGAGCCAACGTTATATTGAAGGCCAAAGGCGGACCAAGTTTATGTTGTAGGCGAGTGAGGTGGACCAATCGTGGACCGAAGGCCAATGTTTACATGTCTGTATATATATTGTGGTGTGTGGTATTTTGGGAAACTCACTAAGTTTTGGGTTACAGGGAGAGTAGATCGTTGTGTAAGATGAGATGGTTTCTCATGGCTGGAAAGAACAATCTTGGTGGATGGGTGGATGGGTGGGTGTTTGGGGGGGGGGGGGGGTTGCATATGTATAATGGAGGCTCATGTCTGAGAATCAGGGATCCCACCTCATAGGTCAATGAACAATTAGCTCAAGCCATTGGCTACATGAGAAAGCGTTCCATTTATAAGGTTAGGTGAATGAACAATTAGCTCAAGCCATTGGCTAGTTTGTTTTGTCATGCAACCAGTTTTGTTATGTCAGGCGGCGTAGGTCATGCCAATGGACCTAACATCTTCATATTGTAATTTTTATTTTTAATGTTATAAAGTTTAATTTTAATGTTATTCGAAAGAATTGAGTTTGAGGTGAGGTGGCAAGGAATGGCAAATTTGAGTTTCAAGTGAGTTAGATGCGTACATGGCACACAAAATGGATGGCAAGGGGCGGCACCACTCCTTAGCTAAGTATTAACCAAGACACCATGACATGATAGTTAACAAAAAGTATTGTATTACCAAAAAAAAATTTATAAGTCGCATAAGAACATAAAGCTATACAATTTCAACTTAAATTAAAAATGGAATAACAAAAAAACTATAATATGACAACTAAATGTTCTTCCATGGCTACATCTTGGCGACATTGGATTCAGTTTGAGGTTTTGCCACTACTGAACTCTACAGTGTAATCAGTTTCGCTTCTGTAAGATTCAATACTCGCATATTTGTATACATCAATATTTAATTTAAACAGCTCGAATAAAGGAATTCACAAGCATCTTCAGGACATCATGTTTTAACTTCAGAATTGATTCATCAACAATCATATGCCAAAGGAGAAACCTTTCTTCCACCATTAAGCAATTCAGTCATTTCCCCCCATTTTCTGTTGTCATTTGATCCAAAGATTCAACTCCAATCAGCAGGATAGAAAGACTAGTTCTCAAGATTTTGTCACTGTACACATCAGGTTTCATTAAGCAAAATGGAATTATCAAAAGCCTACTTTCAACTCAGATAATGCAACCCATCAAGTAAATGCTTGTATGTCTTTTCATTCATAAAACTATCTTTCTTCCTGAATTCTTCAAGAATATCAAAAGCATCATCAACCCTACCTTCCCTACACAACCCTTCAAGAAGAGTCTTATAAGTCAACAAATCAGGTGCCATTGAATTATCCAGCATATCATTGATGACACGAATTGAATCTTTGAACCTTTGTTCCATTGCAAGGCTACAGATCAGAATCATAAAAGTGCTCCCTTTTGGCAACAACTCCTTTTCTCTCATCTCTTTATAAAACCCTAAACCCTCATCCACTCTCCCCTTTTCGCATAATCCATGGATCAAATAACAATATGTATACAGATTCGGTTGATTTCCATACAATGTCATCTCACGAAAAACCCTAATTGCTTGTTCAAGTTCGTGACATTTGGCGTGTGCTTTGATGATCATATTCATTGCAAACGTATCAGGAATCACCCCTGAAGCTTTCATTTGTTTCGATAACGATTTCACTCCACGTAAATACACATGACACACATTCACGTTATTGAATCGTCTGAGAAGAGAATCTAATAAAAGTTTATACGTTTCTAGATTCGGTTTTGTGTCTTCGTGATTCAACATTTTTTTGTAAACATCAAACGCGCGATTGAATAAAAACTTACGACCACAGCAGAATTTGATAACGGAATTATAGAGAGGAACGCTTCCAGAGCACGCGCCTGCGACAATTTCTTCAACTAGGGTTTCGGCGTGGTAGTAACGCTTACCGGAGACCGCGATTTGAACCATGGTGAGGTAGGTGGTGCTATTGTGCTTGTAGCCACGTTGTTGGCCGGTCCACCGGAAGATATCGAAAGCTAGGTCTGCGTCGGATTGGGCACGCAAGGCTTCGTCCACGTCGTATGGGGTGAATCCGGGTTTGAGCTTTTCGAGCCATGTCTCGAATTGCTTCTCTAGTGGAGTTCTCGTTCTGAGGTTGAAGCTTTGTGGTGGTGATGGAAGAGGCACGGTGGAAGTAGGGTTTGGGGCCGCAACAACGGCGGCTGTGGAGATTGATCGGAGATAGAGAAATGCCGTTGCAGTGGAGGCGAGAGAGCGTTGCTGTAAGATTGGTCTCGCCATTGTAAGAATTTGCAGCGAATTTGAGAGTTTTTATGTTCCAAAATTTAAACCTGTTTTTGGGCTTACTGAGCTTATCATAAACCTTAGATTGGGCCAGGCTAATTTATTTGATTCAAAATCATTAATCATTTGCCAACGATAGTGTTTCAAAAATAGATATTGAAATATGAAAATTAAAATAACTTTAAGCTAAAATTCTACACAATGTCACCGGGAAAAGCTCAAATCATTGAGCTAAAATATTTCACGAAAATTCATGGGATTTACAATGGGTTTGAATCTACTTTTTTTTACTCTTTATATGAAACAATTTATAAGGTTAAATTATTTAGTAACTTTCATGGAAAATTGACATGCGACAGATTTTTCCATTATTTTTTATTTTGCATTTACCCACTAGACCGATTATAGATAAAATATGACATACAGCTTTAATTATTTAAACCCTTTACTATTTCAATAAGTTTTTGCATTTTTTAAAGATTGTCCCAATTACTTACTAAACTATAACATTTAGCTAATACGATTGGAGTGTGATGGTTGAGAGTAAAGTTCCACATGTGAGGTTTATGATTTACAACTTAACATATCAAAATATTATTAATGTTCTGTAATTAACCTATCTTATAAAGATTGGAATTGTAATTAACCTATGTATAGAGATTGGGATTGATTGATGCAAGACATTTAGAGGGCGCATTTTACAATTTTTTTTTTTTTTTTTTATAGTTCTTTATAATTTTTGTCCAGTTTAGCAATTATATTTCATAACTCTTTATTTTATGCCTTATATATATATATATATATATATATATATATATATATATATATATATATATAATTTTTTACTATTTTTGATTACTTTAATCTGTTTAGTTAAATATAAAACATAGATTTGAAAATATTTTATAAAAGTTTCATAGTAATTGTCAAAAATTTCAAAATGATATAAGTAATCAAATTAAAGAGTTTACCATAGCAAACTATTTTTTATTAGAATATTAATATAAACTAATATTACTTTTAAAAAATATGATTTAGACTTAAAAATTTAAAGTTATGGGATGAGAGTTTATATATATATATATATATATATATATATATATATATATATATATATATATATATATATATATATATATATATATATATATATAAGAAAAATAAACATAAATAAGTTAATTTCTAAAAAAGAGATATGAGAAAGTTAAAATTAGAAATGGTTTATAACAGTAGTTTTTTTGATAAATAAATATTAGTGAAAATTTTGTCATTACAAAAATAATAAATATTTGAAAAGTTAACCATCATCGCAACAAGCTTCTTCCTAAGACGTCGGGGTTAAGTAAACAAAAAATGATTAAGTTTGTTAGAATGTGGGGGTCCAAATCCATCCTCACCCACAAAAGACCAAAACATCAATTTCATGGTTTGAATTGCTCATAATATCGATGTTTTGATGAGTTTACTAGTATTTTAAAAGATAAAATGAATAAAAGATTGATAAAAGCAATTGAAATCCTTGTGGGTGGCATCAAATTAACCTACTCGTTTTATTTTTCTAATGTTTGGATCACATCCCTTAATAATTTATGGTTTAATCTACTCATATTATAATCTTCATTAGGTGGAATAATATTACATATAATAATTTATATAATTTCTCTTGACTTTGACTCTTTCACGCGTACATTTGTTTATCCTCTCAGTAGTTTCGAAACTTTGCCATCTTTGCCCAATCTGCAAGGGTAATTCTAATTCTGTACAAACTACAAATGATACGATATTTTTTTTACCGTTTTATGCAAACTAATCGATACATATTTTTAAATTGTAATTACATCATTTCAAGATAACATATTCTTAATTAATTTGTTTTATGATAATAGTTATATATGTATTCATGTAAGTAATTATGCTTGAATTGCAATGTAAACTTCACTTCTTATGGGCATTCTCTTCAACAATTTTTTTCCCAAAACTAAAAGTTATACTAATAAACTTTCTTGTTTCTTTGTAAATTTTCTGATAGTTACTGAACGTGAAAATAGTGATATACAAAATGTGTAAGCAACGTCTTCCTCCTAAAATCCTTATAATATTCCCATGGATACATCATCAACCTATATTCAACTTTCAAATCCCATTAAACAATTTCTTCAATTAATAACCCGTCTTTAGTCAACCACAAATCCAACCAATGCCTTCAAGATTCCTTAAAAACCAGACTCCAAAATTTCTTCATCTAAACTGTTCTTCTTCTTCTTCTTCTTCTTCTCTCTGTTTTTCAAGCTTTCATCAATGGGGATCTGTTTCCTCATCAACATCATCTTCTCCACCATAACCCTGATGTCAAACCTCCTTTCTCGCTTGCTCTTCAACGTCACGGCCTACCTCCTCGTAATAGCAATCCAAGGTTTAAAAGTCCCCGGAGAAGCACTGCAGGCTGGAATGGAGCAGATCTCCGGTCTGATCAAATCCTGTGTTGAGTACCTTTTTGGGATAATTATGGAGGTGATGAGTGAGATTGTTGGGTTAGCTTTTGATTTAGTGAAAGAAGTTGTTTTTGGTTCGGTGACTGCCACTGGGGCGGCGGTCGGAGGGTTGGTGGAGAAGATGAGGTCGGGGTTTGATCTGCTGGTGGAAGATATTCCGGCGGTGATGGAGGGTGCGATGGAGATGGTTACTACAATGGTGACGGATTTATGGAATAATTATATTGAAGCTCAGAGTTATGTTACAGAGAACGCTTGAGTTTTGGTAAGAAACTAAGAATTAATATATATTTTTTTAAACCATCGGTTTTTATTTTTTTTTGGGTGTAAATAAATCTTTGTTTTGTAATTTCTGTTAATTGCAAACGAATTCAAAATATATTTAACGTAACAATTTGCCGATTTGTACATAATTTTAATTATTTAGCATAACAAACTTATTATTTTATGTAAATTTTACATCAAATAGTAAATATAGCAAGTCTATTACATTAAATGGTGGTTTTCAATGTTTTTTCTTAAATAAAAATATATATAATGGATTAAAAAGTCGATCACAAACTATTGATGCCTTTTGGCCACTAATTTCTATGTTTTTTCCTTTTTTCTGTTATTTAAGATTTTTTTTTCTTTAGTTTGTGTTGTAGAATGCCAGATTTTTAAAGTTTGGGAGCAAATTCTACTTTCATGTATGTTTGTGTATGCAACTATGCACAGAGCCGGTCCAAACGTATATGGGGCCCTGGGCGAAAATAAAGAAAAGGGCCCCTTACAGACAAATATAATAAATATTCAAAAAAATATCATTTATTCTTCACTATAAATTGGTTCAATTAGCAATAACAAGCAAACCAAATCGTTTATCTTTTGAGCTAGTTTGAGTTTGAACCAATTTTAAGTCCTAAAAATCATTTAGATAACAATTTTATTATATATATACACTATATAGTCAAGAAATTTTGGGCCCACCGGAGACGTGGGCCCTGGGCGGTCGCCCGGGTTGCCCATCGTCTGCACCGACCCTGACTATGCATCGACTTAACTCGGTATTAAACATGCCTCATCGCTTCAATTAAAAGCTAATAGTTGAATTAAACACGTAATACAGGCTTATATTAATTACACAAGGTTAAATCAAACCTAATTGTAAATGTATTAGTTTAATCGGTTTCTTAATCAAACCTAACTATATGTGCATTAGTTTAAGCAGTTTTTAGATGATGAAATAATAAAGTCAATTGATCAGTTAAATTTAAATAAATAAAAGATAAGATGCATTGTATTAGTTTAATCGGTTTCTTAATCGAACCTAACTATGTGTGTATTAGTTTGCCATATATCATGTCTTAATGCGAGGAGTCCATAAAAATTCTAAGATTCATCATATTGACAAAAACATTATGGACAACCTTTGTATTTACCTAAGGGTAGCACAATCTTACGCTTTTTTCTTTTTGAACACGAATATGTAAAAATAACAAAAATTTTCATATTTGTAACAAAATGTTATGTAAATACAAATAAATAGGTGGGAAACTGTGTAAAAAACTAAATTTGTATATAAAAAAAACTGTACAACAATAAGTTGCAAAAAAATCTACGAAACACAGTTGTAAAGAAATGGAAAATCAATATTGTATAAGAAGTTGGTAAACATTTGTGAAAAGATTTTGCATCAAACTCATTAAAGAAATTGAATACCGTTCAAAATTGTAAATAGAAAAAATTGGATGTAGCAAATGGTAGAAAAGGAAAATCTTGGCCAAAATTATTTATAAAAAAAAAAGACCTTAATGTTGGAAAAGATAAAAAAAAAATGGAAAATATACTACTCTTATGAACAAAACAAATGATAGGATGAACAAATACAAAAAGGATACTTGGAAGATTCATACATTTTTTTATCAAGACAATTAGGAACCAAAAAATTAAGTTGTTAGTTTGTTACTTGTTTTTCTGAGACAAAATGTATATAGTATGCAAATTATATCTATCGACTTTTACAGTTATAAAATGTAAACCAAATATCTGAAAGAAGAAGATTGTTTTTTTAACATGTGCATCATGCTAGAATAATCTAAAATCTGATTAAATTGATTTAAAAAAACTTAGAATGATTTTTTCAATAATTTTATGATTTTATTATAAATAATTAACAAATATAGATCAATTTTTATGTATTATTGTATAAAATTAAAAATAAAATGATATGAATTAACGTGTTTATATTCGATAAAAACCAACAAACTTTGATCGTAAAATTATACCGAAACATTTAAGGATAAAAGAATTTAACTCATAAAATGGATAGAAATAAACTTTAATTTTAAATAAAAATTTTCAAAATTTTCATTTACTTTTTCAATTAAATCAATAAAAAACCGGATATAAATATTTTTCCAAAAAATAAATGATATTGCATTAAATAATGCTTTATAAAATTTAACACAAAAAATAAGACAATATTATGATTTTTTTTTCATATTTATATAAATAGCTCTAACG